GGGATGAGGGTAGCTACTCAACTCACCTGGGATATAGCAACCATGGCAGCTAACATGAGAAATATCACCTACCAAATCATAGCTATGCAAGAACTCATCTTGCAAATGCAAAGCTAGTGAGGTCCTCCAATTCTTCCTTTTGCACTGTAATGATATTATCCGCGTGAGGATAAGTTCAAAGCCAGATGGCCCCATCTCCAGGTGAACTAGAGAAGTAAGCTCCCTTGAAAGGGAAGTGAGAGTTGACGTTTCCTCAAATCGCATTTATGGCCGACTCATTGAGGCCCGGGCTATCATAGAGGATAATTTTCTCCCCGACCACGAGCCAGAACATATGCCGCAAAGGTCCTTTAGTGTGTTTGGCATAATTGATCCCATGGAAACCAGACACAAGCCATCTTAGTCACCTCTCGTATCTAGAATAGTCCACAACCACTACCTCCTGCGGCCCGACAATAGAAGATAGCAAGGGCATACCGCTTGTGCTGTCCGGCCTAAAAATAGGCACCACAAGTGGAAGGAAATGGTGAAGGATCAAGCAGGCCCATTTCATACTCTTCCCAAATATTAGGCTAATGGAGAAGAAGACTCGAATGAACCTCAGTAGTTGGCGCTTCAGCAATTGGTGCTTCTTGTCCTGAAGCTCTGTTTTCAAGAACGCCCTCTTAGTCAACTACCATACCTTTAGCTTCGATGGCATCATCGGTTAAGGTACCTCTTCTAAAAACTCTGCTTTCAGTTCAGAAGCATTGAATTCTGGGTAAAGCTCTCTTACTCTGTCTACTACCTCAACATATGCAAACCTCATCCAATAAGCGTCGAAGCACTAGTACTCTTCCATCAAATGGAAGTTGGCAATGTAGTCCTTCATCGCCTCCTTACCTGCCTTCTGAGCACCAGCCTGGGCCTGCTTAGCCTCCTACACGTAGTACCTTATTTGGGTCTCCAAAAACCATTTGCGTCCTTTAGCTCAGCATTTTCCAGGTTGGCATACTTCTTTTATAAGGAAGTATGCCCCAACTAATTGGCTCCACCCATTTGGCAATAATTGGGTGGGAGCCAACATTTAGGATCTCAGCACCACCTTAAAAAATGGGTGCAGAGATACATGCATACCTACCCTAAACAAAAATTCACTAACGGCCGACATCCTGGCCTCAGATAGCATGCACGTTAATTAGCTTCGGGTTCTAAGAGTTCTATGAAATTTAGGATTCTATATTTCTCTCTAAGTTCAACCAATTTTGTAGAGGTCATAACATAAGGGATTCTTGCAGTCCCCATCATGTCTCGTAATCGATGGGACCTTTACTCATAGCCCAAAAGCCTCCGTCTGACCCCCATACATGGCATGCTCCTCAACCCTAGCAATGGTTACCCTCCCATTGCTAGTACTAGACCCAGAAGCCACGGTAATTGAAAAATGGTGGAATAAAGGATGGGAAGATAGAGAAATTCTATAGAAATTGCTTAAATGAAAAGAAGCTCTAGGAATGTGACGTCGTTGGAGAACATAAATGATCGGAAAAGTTTTTAGATTGCTGGAAAATCTGGAGATTTTCGCAAAGGTAAAAAACTGATGCAATGGCATGATTCTGGCTTTTATAAGAAGAGAAGACAAAGCTCTACCATTGGATCTAGATCTATTTCATTTGAAGCGTTCATTTTTAACTATATCCGAGGTATTGAATTCAAACAGTTGCCCTTATTAACGCCTCAGATTGTTAAGTATATCTCACGTATGAACCTTGTTGTGTCAAACTCAAAATATAGCAACGTGGCTATCATTGCGCATTCAATAGGTAACGGTTGTATGTATATTGGAAGTCGAAACACTTCAGTTGTCTTTTCTTGGTAACGTATAAAAAATCAAACCATTGGTATTATTATCAAAAGCATGCTTTATTTCAATTAAGGAGCCTCGGCATTTCAACATTTCCCTATTTCGGCTCACCAAACAAATTTCAACTATTTCAATTAAGGAGTCTCGACAATTTTGCATTTCCTATTTCAGCTCACCAAACAAATTTTAGTAGTTTAGCACTACATAAAGATAAGATGACGTGTGAGAATCATGTTCGACTTCTAACTCCAACTATAATATTAATATCTATACTTGGATTTGGAGGACTATTGTGTTAGTCGAAAACCTAACCATAATAGGAAAACATGTTTTAATGACATTTTGCTCAAAACAGAAATCCATGCATGACATAAATGACCATACATAGACTTGGGGGACTATTGTTACGCTTTACCATCTAGCGCCTCACATGGTCGATTCGTCAAAGCTCTTTTTACCGAGGTCAAAGCCCCTCAGCTAACGCTAAATCCGAGGCCTAAATGAAGCTCCTCTACTGAAATAGTGAGGTTCAACGAAGTAAAATTTGAAACTCAACTACGATGAGAAACGACCCACATTTGAAGGTCGTTAATTGATGAAATCCTGTTGGAATTATTGATTTGACCTTTGTAATAAGTAAAATGTCTTTGTCTTGTTAGCATAGATTATAAGATGGCTGCCCCCTTTTGGGAGCATTCAATGCACCCCAAGTTAATTGGGTCAAAATTGATACTAATGATATGATGTTTCGGTAAATGAGATGATGTCACGTGTCTCCTCATCCAATGATCACTATTTCACATGTAACACTATAAATATCCCCTTTGTGTAGACTACAAGCTATATATTCTCTCTCTCTCTCTCTCTCTCTCTCTCTCTTTAAAGTTTGATCCATTGTTGCAAAAGTTAGATGTTTGATCTTGATCTTTAATTTGGTTTTTTGTTGATTGTTCTTTATCGTGCAATCTCGATCATATCTCTTGCCGACGTCCGAACATATTTGTCTCGTGATATCAAGTTTCTCCCGCGTTCAAATTTGAGATATTGTCGACTAGTAATCTGTACCTGTCTTTACGTGTTGGAATAGCTTGCGTGAACACGAATGAGCTCGGTATCTGTTGTCCACGTCAACTGTGCAAAAAAGAGATCAACAATGTGTCCAAATAATTCACACGGCCATCATTGTATAGTAATACACATAAGCTCATATTGTGGTCGTAACCTTTGCAAATAAGCTAACACGATCACCATGATGCTAACGTGTGGCATAGACAATAACACTTACCATGTGATCCCAATGTCAAGTTTACGTCGATCCATTAGAGAAGAAGTTATACTTGATGAAGAAAATTGCTTCAGTACAAGTCTACAATCATTATAAATCTTAATTGGCAACCAGATAAGTTTAATTATCAACGGCCCATGGATGAGATTTTCTAACCACAAATCACGTGCAATGCTTTCATAGCTACTCATAAACTTATTGATAGAGAGAAGGATGTTACAAGGGCTTACTCTGCAATTTCTAAAAGAGGTCCTGCTTATCAACATATAAGCATGTCGTAAAATATGCTTTTGACCAAGAAGACATCATCCAAAGTTGACATTTATATAGTCACTGTTTGGTTTATATAGAAATTAGATTTTTAATAATTTTTTAAACAAAAATGGGTCAAACACAGTCTTAATCGTTTCATCTTGCGAGGGAGCCAACCTGTAAAAGTAAAAGTAGGAGACAAGCTTACAAGGAAAATATCAGCTCAGCTTGCTCCACGACTTGCCTCAAGAGTGAACTAAGTTGATGACTGGCTCGTCCAACATGACATCCCTAATCACAAAGGAATGAGGTAGTCACAAGTCACGATTAATTAAATTGCAAGGGGATTAATCTAAACTCCAATTAAACTTTTGTCCTTAGCCACATTACTTCCTTTTCGTAGGCCAAAATATCAAGAAAAATAAGGGAAAAATACATAACTACAAGACTATAAGGCTCCGTTTGATAGCCTTAGTTTTCCATGGAAAAGGAAAATATTTTCCTTTTCTACCATTAAAAAGCTGTTTGATAGGTAAATTTTTCCATGGAAAATGTTTTCCACCTTTTTCTAGGTACAATCATTTGATACACAAAAACTTGATTTTGTTTTCTCACCTATTAGGTGGGAAAACATTTTCCACCTCTTTTTTTTTAGCAATGGCAACCAATTTTATCAACTATTGTAAAAATAATTTTCATTTTTGTTAACAATTTCTATGTAAAACAAAGTCAAACGAATATGATAATTTTTTCTAATTGTTTAATTTTTTTTTACTTTTTGGTAATTAGAACAAATTCTAGACGTATTGGTAGAAAAATTATCACTTTAATGTACATTTTTTATAAAAAAACGAAGCCAAACGGACACCAAACTTTCAACATTTTTCAGGTAGAAAATTATACCAATCAAATACAATTAATTACAATTCCCAGGAAAACATTTTTTAGGAAAATATTTTCCCTACAAAACATTTTCTATCCACCCATTTTTCACCCTTGCAATCAAATGGACCCTAAGATTCACATTTTACAACAAAAAATCTTATAATATACTTTTCATAAATCAGGAGATAATTTAAATATATTAAATCATAACAATATATGTAATTATAAAATAATATCTATCGCATTACTCCCTCCCCCCTCCCTTCACAAGAGAGGGGGCCCACGATTTTTTTATTGATCGTGGGCCCCCTCTCTTGTGAGGGGTTGGTACACTAGGGTGTCAATCCCTGTGTACAAATAACATTTTCCAAGAGAAAATTGGGAGATCGTGGGTATGACGTGGATTGTTGTGTTGTGTTGTGGTGGTTGGTAGGAGTGAATTAAATATACCTTATTTTGTATAAAAAAAATATAACTATCTGATTTTATCTGATTTTTGAATAATAATCTTTATAATACGTAGGTTTTGGGTAATTTTCTCGGAAAATAACCCTTTGTTTTGATTTTTTTTCCCAATTTTTAAACCAAAATGGCGCCCTTTTCTGTCGTCTTCCTCTGCAGTCTGGGGTTTTGAAGTGTAAAAAGGGCTTTTTCTTTTCTCTCTTTTGAAGTTCTATGCCCTTCAATTCAACAGAATCATTCCCAATTAACGAATTGTTGTAAACCCTAAATCAAATGGCTTTCTCCTTTACCCCACAACCGCAACAGCAATCCCCATTCCAACCCTCGCCATTTCCCCAAACCACTCCATTTCAACAGCAGCCGCAGCAATTTCAATTCCAACCCCAGCTCCCACAATTGCAACAGCAACAGACGCAGCATCCTCAGCAGCTTTATCTTTTTACTAATGATAAAAGTCCCGCTACTTATAGCACCAAATGGGATGACCTCCACCCTGACTCGCGAAAACTCCTCCTGCAAATTGAGTAAATTTTGGTTTCCTTTGTTGTGTTTCTTGGGCACGTGATTTTGTGTTTCAATTTCCTTTCTTTTTCAAACTTTTTAGGTGATTGGGAACATGGGTCGTTTATGGATGCAGGGAGAAAATATTGGAGTACAGGGATGAGAGCCAGCGATTGGATCAGTGCAGTCGGCTTTATGATTCTTCGGTTTCTAGCCAAGGATTTGAACTTGATGCCTGTCAGATTGTTCAGGTCTACATATTTCATGCCTTCCTTTTTAAATTTTCAAGAAACTCTTTCATATATTTTAATTTTTTTGCTTCAGTTTAATTTTGACACGAATCCTGACAAATATTTGATTGCTAATTGGTTGGAAAATATGCTTTACACCTCCGACTGAGATGTAACGAAATTAATTTGACAAAGAGGGTGTTTGGTGTGTATTAAAATTAGATTTTTAATAGATTGTGATAGAAATTTTTGAAATGTGTGGTGGAAAAGTCGTTGGACTCAAGATGTGGTTGATATTGATTGTTTGATTTTGATTTAAATTATTCGTACCAAACAAGGCCAAAATCTCACTTGGTCTGGTGATTTTCTCTTTCCAAGGAAAATAAAGGAAAGGAAGAAAAGAAATAGTATGTCATTGCACCAGTTCACTGCTTATAAATGGATTCAGATTGTTAATGTGAAGCAGTTACACTGAGTTTCCTTGCTTAATGTTTTTATATCCATTTGAAAATTCTGTCATTAGTTACAGGCCTCATCTTAGAATATTTCTCAGTGTTTTCTGCCAAGTCATGTACTTTATGTCTACATTTTCACCTTTGTAGCTGGTTAATGTACATGGCTTCCAGTTTTGCCTGCTTAGTTGGTTAATCTTTTTGCTAATACATTATTCAGTTGGTGGTTAAAAATTGTCAATGGCCAAAGCACTTGACTTTTCACATTGAAGATTGTGGAAATATTGATTTGATTGAGAAAAGAAACCCACGCCGTCTTTGTTTTCTTGCTAATTCATGGCATCGAATATTTCCTGCTTTGATGGTTAGTCTTTTGCTAGAATAGTCCGTGCTTAAAAGTTGTGGAATTGATTGAAAAATAATTCGTAGTGAATCTTTGTTTTCATGCTACTATTAGTATATTACAATTTCTTAAAGTTACACATCTTACTTTTCAGGAACTTGGTGGAATTGGTATGTCAAACCTTTCTGTTTTTCGTTATAACGTAGAGCTAATGACTGTTGTCAAAGATATGTTAAGAAATGCCGAGGTGGCTGTTCGTTCTTACATGATGTTGCGACCGAGGTTTCTTCACCAAAATAAAGCTGCTGCAGCAAGTGCTGCCGCAGCATCCCAAACATCAGGAGCAACAGAAGGTCTGACATCCAGTAATCCATCCCCGGCTAATTCTATGATGCCAGTGTTTGATTTTTATAGTGGTATCACGAATAAACCATCCCCATTTTTGCAAAAGACTATTGCCAGATTTGAGAAGTATCTCTCCGATTGTCGCCAGTGGATTGAAGAGCTAGAACAGTTGATCATCTTACATTCTGACAAGAACTCTTTCAATTCAAGTTCATCCTTGTTGCAGTCTCTTCCCAAAGTAATGTCTAATGTACATGGCTTTTTTGTTCACGTTGCAGCAAAGGTAATCCTTCCCTCCCTAGGTTGTATTTGACGTACTAACATGCTGTGGTTTTACAACTTTCAGTTATCCCATGCGTTGTGCATTTTTGCAACTTCTTTGTTTTGCAACTTTCAGTTATCCCACATCATCATTTTTCCACGTAAGACCATGAGTGTTTTCGACAGCTCACTCAGGGAGTGCTAAAATTGAAATTATAATTTTAGACATTGATTGAATTAGTTGAAAAAATTGGGTCATAATAGAAAAAACACTCACGGTTTGTGATTATTTTTTAAAAAAATACTTTTATTGGAATGATATCCTTGTGTTGGGACTTTTGTTCCTTCCCATGCTGTTATCATTGTTTTCCTCACATTTTTAGAATGCAAGGTTGCTGTATATCACTTAATTCCTTTCAAGCAATATCTGAATGAAATTTAGTAATTTACTGTATGAGAGCATTGGTGTTCTCAGGAAAAGTTGCAGTCACTTTCTACAGTGCATATAATGAAATTTTGACGGTTCCAAATGTTTGTTTCAACATCTTGCTTTATTGATATGGGTATGCTGATGCGATGCTTGTCATAATTGATGCTGTAGGTGGAGAGCATCCATCAGTACATTGAATCCATGAAAACTGCGTACATTGCTGACCAACACCGTCGTGGGGATGGGAACGATCCATTTCTTGAGGCTGATCGACGGGAAACAGCCAAACAAGAGGCTGCTGCTCGAAGGGTGCACCCAACTCTACATTTGCCTGCAGTTTCACAACCATCAACTCAAGTTGCTGGACTGCTTACCAGCTCCGCTGCAACTGGGACATCAACTACACCAAGTATGTTTGCTGCAGCATCAGCTTCATCTGGAAGTGGAACCTTACTCTTTGCTACTCCATCTGCTGCCATATCACCTTCTCTGTTTTCCACTCCTACCACATCTGCTCCAGTCTCCTCTTCGTTTGCATCTTCTGGTGCAGCCCCTCAGACTTCACCTTTGGGGGCATTGTCTGTTTCCACCTCAGCTTTTGGCACTTCGGCTTCATTATTTAGTTCAACTCCTCCTTCTGGACTCTCAACTTTTTCAACTCCTTTTGCTACAGGTAACTTTTGAATATCAGATCAAACTATCAATTTCAACATTGTCAACTACTGATATCTAGATGACTGACAGGAGAAAATGGAAATTGGTTAATTTATGTCATGTTGTTATTTAGCGAGAACTTGATTTCATTGTTTTACCCCAGAACATAATCATTTTTCTTGAAATTTGGTGGGATGCACTGAATTTTAATTCTCTGCTTTTCCTATCAAGAAATTATTGCCTCTGAAACAACAGGAGCTCCTCTTCATCAAGTTCAGACTGCTTATCACATAAGGGTTTAAATGAGGTTATGCGATGTTCAATGCTATCGTAACAATCATAGTTTCCTTCCATTGGTTACCATTTTGTTTGCGTTATTGCAATTGTAACAAACCTACCTCTTCTTGTCCTGCCTTATCAACCTATCCGTGTTGGTTTTCTGATTTTAATGGAATGCGTCTATGGTTTGTATCTTGCTACTTTGACACAAAAATTGCCATCAACTAATTCTTGGTCAATTTTTCTTTTTCGCTATTTGAATATCATTCGTTTTGAACTTTTCTTTACTGGATTCCTTTGCGTTGTCAATAGGAGCTACAACAGACTCAGGAGCGAGCTTCGGGACTATTTCAGTGAGTAATTTAATTTCGTATTTTAGTTATATCTGGGCAGGCTTTTCATATCTTTCCCTTCGCTTCCTCACCTCTTACTCGCTCCCTGGAAATCTGTCATCTCAAAAGAAGAATATGCTTTGCATATGAGAAAAATTGTTATTGTTTATTTGTTGGACATTTTAATGTATGTTGAATTACTGGAGCTGTATGCTGAAAATTGCTTTTTATAGCGAAAAAGGCAAATGAAGATGAATTGTTTGGATAGAATCACATAGAACAGATCATTAGTTGCCTAAGATTGCTCCGATATCATATCATGATTAGTGCTGAGTCATTTGGGTTACCATAAGCTGGTTCAGTTGAACTTGGATGTCATATTTTAACATAATGCTTGAGAAAGGCTACGTGTAGAGATTTTACCATTGAGGTTGGCATATTTCGAAGAAATGTTTAATGTACACGGAGCATAATGGAAGCAATTGAAAAGTGATAGCTATAATTGTTGAAGGTCAACACTTCACAATCATAATGAATCATTGAAGTCAATGGTGGTTAAGAGTGACAAATGTTGGTGACACAAGTCTAGTGGGATTTTTGGATGTTTGATAAATAAAAGAAAGAGGAACTCTGCTGCCCCAGTAGCAATGACTTTAGGTTGAGGAGGTGTTTGAAATACCCCTCTTTTCAAGATCAAAGTGAAAAATAGTCACTTGAGTATAAAAAGTTTGACCAGCTCAACCTTTGGGTCGAGTGTTTTCACTTACCTGCACAGATCTATGTTTCTGATACTGAAAAAATGCTACAGTCATATTACTATTACTAGATTATTGTTATAGAGTGTTTTCCCTCAAAATCTATCAAAAAGATAGGTGGGAGTTATTAAAAATGTCATGTGCACTGATAGTGTAACAACTTTATTAGTAGTAACAGAATAAGTATCTCCAAGAGTGTTTAAAGAGCCCCTGAGAAATGAAAGTCCAGATTTTTCTTTTTTTCTTTTTCATTTACTGAACAAAATGCATTCAATTGTCTTCTGATTCTTTAGGCACGATAATAAATGAAATAGGAGTTTAGATAAGGTTATTTTTTTAATACTCTAAAATTCTGGTCATTGTAAAAGAAACTTTACTATGTTGGCCATATTTCATTTTCTTTCTCCGACATGGTCGTTTTCTGAAAATTGTCTTTCAGGATTTATGTTTTATATGAACCATGGTAGCTGTTGAGCTTGATCGCTGCTACTGTGAGTGGTTGAGTTTGCAAGGACTAGTTTTAGTTGAGATCTGTGTTTTTTGTTGGCCGCATTGGGAGAAATGCCAGTGGTTTAGATGATATTTACGTATTCAAAGTTTGTCTTAGTAATTAAACTTGGACATAGATTTTTTTTCCCCAATTTTTTGCAGCATAAAACTGAATTACTCCCTCCCCCCTCCCTTCACAAGAGAGGGGCCCCACGATTTTTTTATTGATCGTGGGCCCCTCTCTTGTGAGGGGTTCGTACACCGGGATGTCAATCCCTGTGTACAAATAACATTTTCCTCATAAAATTGGGAGATGGTGGGTATGATGTGAATGAGCAATGCTAAAGGTACATTGAGGTGTACATCACGGTGTACACCCTCCTCACATGGGTAAGAGGCCCACTCGAATACACCTTGATGTACATCTAGCATTTTTCGATGTGGACTGTTGTGTTATGGTGATTGGTAGGAGTGAATTAAATATACCTTATTTTTTATAAAAAATTATAGCTATCTGATTTTTGAATAATAATCTTTATAATACGTAGGTTTTGGGCAATTTTCTCGGAAAATAACCCTTTATTTTGATATTTTTTCCCAATTTTTAAACCAAAATGGCGCCCTTTTCTGTCATCTTCCTCTGCAGTCTGGGGTTTTGAAGTGTAAAAAGGGCTTTTTCCTTTTTCTCTCTTTTGAAGTTCTATGCCCTTCAATTCAACAGAATCATTCCCAATTAACGAATTGTTGTAAACCCTAAATCAAATGGCTTTCTCGTTTACTCCACAACCGCAACAGCAATCCCCATTCCAACCCTCGCCATTTCCCCAAACCACTCCATTTCAACAACAGCCGCAGCAATTTCAATTCCAACCCCAGCAGCCACAATTGCAGCAGCAACAGACGCAGCATCCTCAGCAGCTTTATCTTTTTACTAATGATAAAAGTCCCGCTACTTCTAGCACCAAATGGGATGACCTCCACCCTGACTCGCGAAAACTCCTCCTACAAATTGAGTAAATTTTGGTTTCCTTTGTTGTGTTTCTTGGGCACGTGATTTTGTGTTTCAATTTCCTTTCTTTTTCAAACTTTTTAGGTGATTGGGAATATGGGTCGTTTATGGATGCAGGGAGAAAATATTGGAGTACAGGGATGAGAGCCAGCGACTGGATCAGTGCAGTCGGCTTTATGATTCTTCGGTTTCTAGCCAAGGATTTGAACTTGATGCCAGTCAGATTGTTCAGGTCTACATATTTCATGCCTTCCTTTTTAAATTTTCAAGAAACTCTTTCATATATTTTATTTTTTTTGCTTCAGTTTAATTTTAACACGAATCCTGACAAATATTTGATTGCTAATTGGTTGGAAAATATGCTTTACACCTCCGACTGAGATGTAACGAAATTAATTTGACAAAATCTCACTTGGTCTGGTGATATTCTCTTTCCAAGGAAAATAAAGGAAAGGAAGAAAAGAAATAGTATGTCATTGCACCAGTTCACTGCTTATAAATGGATTCAGATTTTGTTAATGTGAAGCAGTTACACTGAGTTTCCTTGCTTAATGTTTTTATATCGATTTGAAAATTCTGTCATTAGTTACAGGCCCCATCTTAGAATATTTCTCAGTGTTTTCTGCCAAGTCATGTACTTTATGTCTACATTTTCACCTTTGTAGCTGGTTAATGTACATGGCTTCGAGTTTTGCCTGCTTAGTTGGTTAATCTTTTTGCTAATACATTATTCAGTTGGTGGTTAAAAATTGTCAATGGCCAAAGCACTTGACTTTTCATATTGAAGATTGTGGAAATATTGATTTGATTGAGAAAAGAAACCCAGGCCGTCTTTGTTTTCTTGCTAATTCATGGCATCTAATATTTCCTGCTTCGATGGTTAGTCTTTTGCTACAATAGTCCGTGCTTAAAGGTTGTGGAATTGATTGAAAAATAATTCGTAGTGAATCTTTGTTTTCATGCTACTATTAGTATATTACAATTTCTTAAAGTTACACATCTTACTTTTCAGGAACTTGGTGGAATTGGTACGTCATTGGAAAGACAAAAAGCAATATTGCAAGAGCTAATGACTGTTGTCAAAGATATGTTAAGAAATGCCGAGGTGGCTGTTCGTTCTTACATGATGTTGCGACCGAGGTTTCTTCACCAAAATAAAGCTGCTGCAGCAAGTGCTACCACACCATCCCACACATCAGGAGCAACAGAAGGTCTGACATCCAGTAATCCATCCCCGGCTAATTCTATGATGCCAGTGTTTGATTTTTATAGTGGTATCACGAAGAAACCATCCCCATTTTTGCAAAAGACTATTGCCAGATTTGAGAAGTATCTCTCTGATTGTCGCCAGTGGATTGAAGAGTTAGAACAGTTGATCATCTTACATTCTGACAAGAACTCTTTCAATTCAAGTTCATCCTTGTTGCAGTCTCTTCCCAAAGTAATGTCTAATGTACATGGCTTTTTTGTTCACGTTGCAGCAAAGGTAATCCTTCCCTCCCTAGGTTGTATTTGACGTACTAACATGCTGTGGTTTTACAACTTTCAGTTATCCCATGCGTTGTGCATTTTTGCAACTTCTTTGTTTTGCAACTTTCAGTTATCCCACATCATCATTTTTCCACGTAAGACCATGAGTGTTTTCGACAGCTCACTCAGGGAGTGCTAAAATTGAAATTATAATTTTAGACATTGATTGAATTAGTTGAAAAGTTTGGGTCATAATAGAAAAAACACTCACGGTTTGTGATTATTTTTTAAAAAAATACTTTTATTGGAATGATATCCTTGTGTTGGACTTTTGTTCCTTCCCATGCTGTTATCATTGTTTTCCTCACATTTTTAGAATGCAAGGTTGCTATATATCACTTAATTCCTTTCAAGCAATATCTGAATGAAATTTAGTAATTTACTGTATGAGAGCATTGGTGTTCTCAGGAAAAGTTGCAGTCACTTTCTACAGTGCATATAATGAAATTTTGACGGTTCCAAATGTTTGTTTCAACATCTTGCTTTATTGATATGGGTATACTGATGCGATGCTTGTCATAATTGATGCTGTAGGTGGAGAGCATCCATCAGTACATTGAATCCATGAAAACTGCGTACATTGCTGACCAGCACCGTCGTGGGGATGGGAACGATCCATTTCTTGAGGCTGATCGACGGGAAACAGCCAAACAAGAGGCTGCTGCTCGAAGGGTGCACCCAACTCTACATTTGCCTGCAGTTTCACAACCATCAACTCAAGTTGCTGGACTGCTTACCAGCTCCGCTGCAACTGGGACATCAACTACACCAAGTATGTTTGCTGCAGCATCAGCTTCATCTGGAAGTGGAACCTTACTCTTTGCTACTCCATCTGCTGCCATATCACCTTCTCTGTTTTCCACTCCTACCACATCTGCTCCAGTCTCCTCTTCGTTTGCATCTTCTGGTGCAGCCCCTCAGACTTCACCTTTGGGGGCATTGTCTGTTTCCACCTCAGCTTTTGGCACTTCGGCTTCATTATTTAGTTCAACTCCTCCTTCTGGACTCTCAACTTTTTCAACTCCTTTTGCTACAGGTAACTTTTGAATATCAGATCAAACTATCAATTTCAACATTGTCAACTACTGATATCTAGATGACTGACAGGAGAAAATGGAAATTGGTTAATTTATGTCATGTTGTTATTTAGCGAGAACTTGATTTCATTGTTTTACCCCAGAGCATAATCATTTTTCTTGAAATTTGGTGGGATGCACTGAATTTTAATTCTCTGCTTTTCCTATCAAGAAATTATTGCCTCTGAAACAACAGGAGCTCCTCTTCATCAAGTTCAGACTGCTTATCACATAAGGGTTTAAATGAGGTTATGCGATGTTCAATGCTATCATAACAATCATAGTTTCCTT